AAAGGTTTGAAAATATCATCAAAGAATTTAAGATGACTTTGTAATCTTAAAAAATATTTTCCATCTGAATTTATAACAAACTATCTTAATAAGTACAAGAGAATGTATAGGCAAGTCATTAAACTAGCAAAAAGGGACTACTATAAAAATAGGCTAAGTCGCTCAGGAAACAAGGCTAAAGAAGGGTGGACTATTGTGAGTAAATTAACAGGAAAATATAATTTGAACAGTAATCAAATTACCATAGATTCAAATATACTCAATGAATATTATTGTAAAGTAGCTAGAGAAATAATGTCTAATTTAAAACCACAAATTGACCCTCTATCTTTCCTACAAAACATAAATATCATAGAGAGTTTTTTCTTACGACATACTGATCTAACAGAACTTAAACATGTTATTAAAAATATACAAAATAAAACCTCCACTGGAATAGATAATATATCAATTAAAATATTTGAGAATTTATCAGATAATGCATTAAACGTTTTGGTAAATGCTATAAATAATTCATTTGACACTGGTGTGTTTCCGCAATGTTTAAAAATAGGTTTAATTACGCCAATATTTAAGGGTGGAGATTTGGAAGACCCCTCTTCTTATCGACCCATCTCTCTCCTCCCTACTCTCTCTAAAATAATGGAAAAAGTGGTCAAGGATAGAATGATGTCATTCATAAACAAACATAATATTTTAAGGGAGTGCCAATTTGGATTTCAAACAGCAAAAAGCACTAATGACGCGCTATTTAATTTTTTGCAGAAACTTTATTTGAATCTCAATGATGGAATGGTGGCTTCGGCAGTGTTCTGCGACTTGTCAAAAGCATCTGACTGCGTGAGGCGTGAAATACTGCTGAAAAAACTAGAACATTATGGATTTAGAGGTATTGCGTTGAAATGGATATCTTCATACTTATCAGAGCGACAACAGCTTGTCAAATGCCAGAACAAAAAGTCAACCATTCAAACCAACTCTTATGGCGTACCACAGGGATCCGTGTTGGGACCACTCCTTTTTTTATTGTATATAAATGACATAGTAAATACAAACATAAGTGGTCATTTCACACTCTTTGCTGATGATACAACAATTCTGTGGGTGGATCAGAGCTCTAATCAGCTAGAAGCACGAATACAAGCTGATATATGCAAAATAAAACAATGGTGTGATGCCAATTATTTGTCTTTTAACATTAAAAAAACAAATATCATGACATTCAAGGGCAATATAGCGGACATAACTTTGGGCAATGATGAAATAGAAAAAACCCAAGTCTCAAAGTTTTTGGGTATATATATAGACTCAAAATTGAGATTTTCTGAGCACATAACATCACTAAACAAAAAATTATCATCGGCTTGCTACGCCATAAGGATAGTTAGCAATAATCTAAGTCATACTGTATCGAGATCTGTGTATTTTGCGCTTGTTCAGTCAAACTTGACTTATGGAGTAGCATTCTGGGGTCATGCCCCTAAACACCTGATTCAATCAGTGTTTATACTTCAGAAAAGAGCCTTGAGATATTTGTGCAAATTAGGGCCCAGAGACCACTGTAAGCCATTCTTTGTGAAGGAAAAAGTATTAACACTCACTTGCCTCTTCATTGTAGAAGTTGCAAGTCTGGTACATAAAAAATATAAAAATGTTCAAGATAGCTCCAAATATGAGACTCGCAGAAATAATGAACTGCGCCTACCTATCCCAAAGAGCTCATTGATTAGGAACTCACTAATATATGAGGGATTAAAAGTTTATAATCACTTACCACAAGATTTCAGAAATATCAACAATGATAAAATATTCTCACGATCTGTAAAACGTTTACTACAATCTAAAGCATACTACACCTTGGAAGAGTTTTACAGTGAAACATTTTAAAATGCATGTAATAATTAATATGTGGCTGGTTACAACTTTTTTTATTTTTTTTAATTTTTTCGTCTTTTGTTAGAGATTAGGTATTATGTTTGTTTTGCACTATTTAGCTGTTGTAAAGTCATTTTTATTGTATCTGTGAATTTTTAATATATTTGTATAGATGTAAGTTTTTGTTAAATCTCGAGTTAAGTTTTGTATACACATGTGTATGTTTGTCTGCTTTATTATTATTATTATTATGTATTTGATCTCGATTTGATATACTATTTTCTTTTTATATATACCTACAGCTTTGTTCTTGAGAACTGATTATGTTCTTCGTAACAATAAAGCATATTTTGATTTTGATTTGATTTGATGTCGAAACATCGGAACATCGGGTATTAAACATCGATGCTTTTCAATAATCGATGAACATCGCACATCCCTATTTGGAAGTACCAGTTGTTCTAGTGACTCAACGTATGTCGCTTCTTGAACACACAAATAAAATTAGGTTAGGAATTTCCTATTTGTACATAAAATTGACCTATTATAGACTGTGAGATAGGGGCTGTTTAGTGGAGTCATTTTTTTTTGTCTGGCATTTTGAGGGCTGAATGTGGCTACTAAGCTGATGAGAATATGGGTGATTTTAATGCCGGACTCCCGTTCGAAAATTTGCAGAAGAAAAAAATTGATTTACATGAAGAATTTTTTTTTAATGATCTCAAATTTTCTAGCTTTTAACTAAAAGATTGACATTGATAAATAATTCACCCATGAAAAATATCAGATGCTTTTCAATAGCTGAAAAAATGGAGATGGATGTCAACTTCCAGGAGAAAAGAAAAGAACCTTCCGCGTTTACCTTTTGTCTGGCAATCGAGAGAATGAAAGGTTTTGTTGTGAAAATGACGCTGAAAAATCGCCAGACGGTAATCACAGTTCGAAATCGAGTTTTCCGGCGAAACATTCTGTGGACATTTCGAACAGGAGGCAGGCATTAAAACCACTTATATTCTCATCAGCTAACTAGTCACATTCATCCCTCAAAATGCCAGACAAAAAAAAATGACTCCACTAAACAGGCCCTATCTCAGGGTCTATTAGTAACCGACGTTCGTTTTTGTTGGTAATTTTTTGTTTCATCTGATTCATGATTGATAAATAAAGATGAGATTATTCTAAATGGGTATTAAAAATACCATGGGTAGCACGCACAACACTGGACGGTGGAGTTGCAACAAATAAATATTTTCACATTTTAAGGGTAGGTCCTGGGTGTCCAAGTGAAATGTAGGTAGAGCAATCTTGCCCAAACAATAGGGATTCCGTAATTGGGTAGAAACGGCCAAAAATTGAGACGCACACAATAGACAATGAGTATTTGATTATGATCATTAATGACATAACCTAATGACGTTATGGTTTGTGTTTGTGTCAAATGTTTGTGTGCCTCTTGTCGGCCATTTTTGTGTCACATGTTTTGGATAGTCTAATAAGCTGCTGGAACCACAGACTAGACTGACACATGGTAAGACCTGTTCGCACAGCAATCACAAACCTGTCAGAGCAAATTTCATTGGTTGAAAACAGTCAGAAAACTAGTTTCAACCATAGACATATAATAAAAGAGAGACAGAATTGTTTACATTTTATCCCGATCAAACATTGATTTCTCGGTGCCATTTTTTGAGCCCATCTTTTTCTAACTTATGCATAACTCTGGAGGTATGTATCGGGTCTTCAAAAAAAAAACCAATCGAAGATTGCTATGGTTTTTTAAACGTATGTCTTAGCAAGATTTTTCTTTAATTTGTCAATGAACTTTAATGTCAAAATGTCATGTCAAAAATCCTGACCAATAAAGAAACAGTAATGCGACGTACGTTTTCGTAATCAAAGCAATCTTCGATTGGTTTTTTTTTTGAAGACCCGATATGATTGTAAACAAATAATGATTTTTGAATGAGATGTTCTGTCTCCTCTTTTATTATATGTCTATGGCTCGGTCTATGGTTTCAACCAATGAAATTCACTCTGACGAGTTTGTGATTTCTGTGAGAACAGACCTCCTAAAATAAGGTGATTTTTGGCTTTGGCGTGTTTTGTGGTCTTTGTAGGGTTGCTAAAGTGTCAGTAATTATTGGCAATATGATGAACATAAATTCCAATTTTTGTAACTAGCCAGGTCTTGAAACATCATTTCTGATTTGAAAATGTGAATACAAAAGAAGTCAAGACTCAAGATTTTTGTCTAACTTGAAATCGCCTAAAAATAGGACCTCAATTAGACTTTTTCCGAGACTTTTTGTATTTGCCAGTAAACATCCAGTGATTTTTTGCTAATATTATACACATTCTTTATAAAGTGATTTACCCACAGACCAGACCGCCAGACCCTGTAATTCTTTCACACCCGTGTGGACTTAATTCAATCTCGCTTAGTCTTAGTTCAAAAATGTGCATATAAAAAAGAAGTCCTAATCTGGTTTAAGTAACTAATATGGATTAAGTCCTTATGGAACACTACAACTGGTCAACGCAGCATCTTATCAGAAGGACTAAGGTACTACAATCGAATTCCACAACCTGTTAAAAGATTGAACATAACTTGCTTCAAGTGTAAGCTGAAGCAGCTGATCTTCGATGGATACTTTGGGACTGTACAATGAAATACTTTATCTGCAATTTAGAACTAAGATATTCATAAATGCAACAACTTTGTGATACAGTACCTACTTGTACTGGATATTTTCTCTTGTGTGATATTGTATAATGTTTAAAATTATACGGTATATTGTAATAATGTTATATGTGAATGACCCGTATAGCTTTCCAGCTCAGGGTCTCTAGTTTAGGTTCATACATATATTGTTTAATTAACATGTTGAAATAAAGTCCTTATGGTGCATTTGGGCGTTAGTAAAAAAAATACAGATAGAAGTCTACCTTGCTTCTCTGCTACATTAAAAATTGCTGTATTGATATTATATTTTTGAAACAAAAAACCTAAAATGCACATAATTAAAAAAAAAAAAAGTTTGCTTATTTATTTAAGGAAGTAGGTTTTTTTAAAAAAACCCTGTACTTTCCATTGTCAACAATAATATTTAAAAAAATATACTTACATCTAAAATTGTATTGATGTCCACACTGTGGACAAAAATATACTGTGAATTGCACCAGCTCTATCTGCTTTGATTTTGGTTTTCCCCCAACTCTGTTCTCAATTTTTTGCATGACGGTAGGTTTCTGACACCGCTTATCAGCAGGCTTATCATATGCATAAGAGGGCCTGTCAACATACAGAGAAGAGTCGCCATATACTGAATGGGGTCTTTGAAAACTAGACGAAGGCCTCGCATCGTTTTGTCTATACATATGTTTATTATAACGGTCTTCGTAATTGAATTCTGATGTGGATTGAGTATAATTATTAGATGAATAATGACTCTCCTGATTATGCTGTATAAGGCTGCCACTGCCAACACCTCCCCTTCCGAAGCCTCTATATCGGCCCCGGCCGGCATTACTATGAGGGACTGAATACACGGAACTTGCTGGAGATTTATCTTGGTAGTATGAATAGTTAGAATGCGGAGCAGACCTATCTTTATCCTTATTGTCTTTCTTTTTCTTGTTTCCCCTGGGCATCATTGCGATTCAAATATTACGCGAAATGTTTGGTTAATTGAAATAGAACACAAATCGATGTATGTCACTGTTTAACAAACGGCCAAGAGAAAACCGAAAACCTTAAAGGATAAAACTTACAAAATGGCTACCGGCTAACAAATTGTTTTGCTCAAATCAAACACTACACAAATTCACATCATTGCATTGCACTGCTGCATGTCTGCATGCATTGCATTACATTCTATTATCGTTATTTCCCATATTCCCATGCCTTTTGCTCAAGCGCTAGGAAGGAGTGGAGGGACGGAAATTGATAAGGATGACACTTGATTTGACATTTGACACTAACAAGGTTACGACTATGTTCCGATATTAGCCGCTTTCCAGCTGTGTGCTTCAAGCACGGTGCAGCAAAGTGTTCTGTGTTTGAAACGCAAAAGTTAGCAGCTCTCGAAGCGCAGTACGGCTGGAACACGAATACGCGCTTGAAGCATTTACCCGCGCAAAAGCTCGTTTGCGTGCTCAAAAGCGTCAGCTGGAAAGCGGCTATTAACTGCCAGTACTGGATTTACTGTGCTGTTTTTACCGTCATTTGCCGTTCCGATTTCAACAGCGTACTTTTGTAGTCATTCAGTACTGAATCGACTGAATCCAGTATAATATCGGAGCGGCGTCCAGTAAGGGCCATATTCTCCGTAGTTCATAGTCTGGCTTAGTGGAAACGCTTGGCTTTTTGTGTGACAAAGCCGAGCTTTTCCAGTAAGCCAGGCTTTATGAACTACGGAGAATATGGCCCTTAATTCAGTACTGACAGTTGATATCGGAACATAGGCTACATGTGCGGGTTGGCATCTACGTACGTTCCAATAACGGACTTTAACCGCTACACTATTAGAGCAGGAGCAGTTAAACCGCTGTTCGGAGCGGACATCAGAACGCACTATCCCGCGCTGTTTTAACACCATGTTCTGGCTCCTCCTCATAGCAAGAAAATTACCTGCTCTAAGGCTGCATTTATGTGCACTGATAAAATGCAGTAAATCAGAATGTTGATGCCATTATGAACGCATTTTTCCTAAAGGTGTTCGTTTGCACTGTTTTTTTTTGCTGATCAAAGGATCTGCATTTACTAATCTCAAAAACTAAAAACTGGTATTTTTACGATCGATTGTAAGTGGTTTTGGCAGGGCAGACGATAAAAGCTCCATTCTGAAATAATCCCTGTTCTAAGAATTAAAAAATAGCGATAAAATTGAAATATGGGCAGTATGCGGTATGCGATATGAATTATAACAAACACCATTGGGAAATCAATAGTCGAACGTACTTTATTGTTTTGATCAAACTCTTTAATTCATCGAATTTGACGGAGCAAGAAAGAGCGCTCCGTGCGAGATTTGCACGCGTTCTATTGCTCAAGTCCAAGTCGAACCAACACGTGAATCTCACCGAGAGCAACGCTCCGTTAGCCATCAAACATGTGAATCTGTTTCGCGTTGCTTTTTCATTAATCGGGTGCAGTTTGCAGTTTCAAGGCAAAATTCGAAAGCGCTATTAGTTCCAAAATCCAAACTAGCGATCCATGGAAAATGAGCATCACAAAAAAAAAAAAAATCTTACATTTCATTTTTCAAGAATAGGTGGTAGAACCACAAAAGGCCGAAGTGCACTTTTGGGACTGTACCACCAGTGCCCGTGCATCGTGCATGTTTTAAGGTGCGCATTCATAGCCGCTTTCCAGGTATGCACATTGGCGCGCTCTGGCGCGCTCTAGAGCACCTCGGGGGCGCCACGCACTAGATTTGTACCGTTCGAGTATCATGGCGTGAGACGCCTGTGTTAGTGTCAAATATGTGAAATTTTTAAAATAATTGACCTTTTCAATTTCAAAACCCTCTCTCTCTGGCGTCAAACTGTCAGACGCCAAAAGAGTATGAAAACAACGGTTGACAGCCGCTGACAGTGGTTTGTTGACAAGACTTTTGTACATGTGGAAACTGGAAACTATTATTTCTTCGGTTTTTTCAAAGTTTTTTCCTAACAATAGTGATTGTGTAGTGTGCCTTTTTGTAAAAATAATTCCTATTTACCGGCGGACGTGTCTTTCCATAAGTTTCCATCAAATACTACACTTGTCAAATTTTGGATACATAAAATCAGAAAGAATACTTGCAAAAAAAGGGAAATCCACGGCCTATCAAGTATACAAAGTAATCCCCGTTCAAGTTTAGTTTGCGGGAGGTGCTTGCTTCCAAAATAATCCACCGCTTTCTCCATAGCGAAGTTCTGCAAATGAAGTAGTGACTTTTCCTGCATTTTCTTTCAAAACACCTCAATACACACTGGCATTGACAAGCAAGCAAATGTTGGCGGGAAAATGATTGTTTTCATACTTTATTGTCCATCTCTTTTAATTGAAAACGTTAATTATCTTGGGGTGCGATTTTCGAAACCATTCGAGTACATTTCGTACACGAAATTTGACTGATAGCTGTAAATTAAATGGGGAGCAGTTAAATTTCGTGTACGAAATGTACTCGAATGGTCTCGAAAATCGCACTCCAGTTTGTTTGTGCCGTTTGTTTTTTTATTTATCAAAAATGAAAGAGAATCAAAACTATATATTTTAAAATGTTCAATCTTGAGATATAACAAGAAATAAATAGATAAATAGCCACCCACGGATGTGACAGCTGATAGGTTGACGCGTACGTACAGCTCGGGAGCTCAACGCCCCGAGTAGCTCCGGGCGTCACACTCCCATACTGGAAAGCGGCTCATTAGAGCCATAAGAGTATTTTGGCTGTGCTAGCCGAACGCGCACAAACGCGCTTGTGTCAAGGATATTACACACTACTACAGGATTGCTCATCCAAGGATACTACATACTACAACTACAGGATAGCTTATCCTCAAAAGGCCTGTGTAGATCAAATCTAAGGCACCCCACCTTGACCCCAGCACGCCAAAGAACCAGTGATGACGCAGCAGCGTGTTCGTTTCTCGCCTGACTTAATGTGTTTGCGAGGATAACTAAGGATTGCTTATCGGCCTCGATTTTGGTAATCGCGGCCATATTGGTGTCTTACCATTGGCGACGTCATTAACTAAGTCGTCAGCTGCTTGCGTCAGTGGTCCTAGTTTAGAAGTTAAATTTATGATGAAAAATAGCATTTAATTTTGATTTTGATTAACATGAGAGGCAAAGAGGAACATGCAAACGAGATCTAAAAAGGAGCTGTTTTAGAATGTTACTAATGTTTACATTAGTTAACTTTGGCGTGGTGGTGGGCTTAAAATTTGTTCTACACAGGCCTTATGAGGAAAGGCTATCCTGTGGTAGTAGTGTGTATTATCCTTGGGATATTTGGTATTTGCTCCGCAGGCTTTTGCTTTAGGCCGGATTTTCATGCATCCGTTTTCCGACGAAATATGTCCGAAAAATCTTCTATTTTGACATATTTTTTGACGATTATGTCAGAATAGAATGTTTTTCGGACATCTTCGTCGGACAAACGGATGCATGAAAATCCACCCTTATGCATACTTGGTTTTAGTACACTAATTAACATTCTAAAACAACGCTTAATGTATATTATAAACTACGACCGCTGGCACAAACAGCTGATGACGTAATTTGATGACGTTGTCAATGGTGCTACACAATATGGCCGCGATTCCCAAAAACGAGGCCGATAAGCAATCCTATGCAGTAATTAGTAGTAGTGTGTATTATCCTTGTTGCTCATCGGCCTCGATTTTTGGATTCAAGTTTATATGGTGTTGCACCGTTGTCGACGACATCAATAGTGTCGTTAGCTGTTTGCGCCTGGAGTGCGTTCACAGTCGAACGCCGGACGCTCACCGAGTGCACACCGAGCGCGTCTTTTGCAGGGTTAGTCGTTCACGGATCTACCTAATTCACCCGGTTAAAATATTTGCTCCGTTCACAGAGCCATGATAACTTTACCCGGTTGTACAACTTTTTAACCCACTCTGAGACATGGGTAAAATTTGTTGCGCAGGTGTTTTACAAGAATATTTGAAATTTGATAAACAATACTGTTGGTAATCTTTCTGGGCCATACATTGCTGACTTCAACTGTTTTTAAGTTTTCCAGGAAGCCAGTTGAAAGCTTCTCTGGAAACTCAAAAATTTTCCTAAACTCCTTATCGCTATAATTGCGTATTATTGTTGCCATAAAATTATCCTGTCTTTCAATATGCCTTTTTTCAGGCTTGAACTTAAACTGCTAGCGCTAGCACATGCAGCTTGTGTTACAGCATAGCTGACTTCTTCCTCTGTATCAGACGAATCCAAAGAAGTTTCAATAGTACTTTAAAAAAATATTATTCCCGGATCCATCTCGAAACATTCGAAACACAACGTATGTAAACAAAAGGAAAACAAAATCAAATCCTACCTCGTTATGGCGCAGGCGTTAGTCGTTCACGGATTCGTCATCCCAAGCGCATCCTTTTCAACCAGTGAAATATTTAACCTGGTTAAGTTTTACCCAGGGTAAACCACTATGAACGCGCCCCTGCGGTCGTAACTTAGAATATAAACATTTATGATAAAAATTAACATTATTATTTAATTTCGATTAACATAATAGCACACCGGTACGACACTTCTAAGGCAATGAAATTCGCTATGGATCAGCAGGTTCAAAAAATTCGTAACGGTCGTATCGTACCCGTACCTATACTACGAGAGCCCGTGACACAAAAGCCTCAGTCATCTGTTAGAAGGCCGTTTTTTGGTGGCCCGGTATGCCAAGTCCTCGGTCAACTAAAAAACGTAATGGTTGGCGGGTTTCGGTGTGCAGAAGCTGAGGAGTGGATGAATTTTCACTACCCCAAAATAAGGCTTTCTACCTTATGAGTTAGAAGCTTTTTTTTTTGTTGTGAATAAATAATATGGACCTACTGAGGCCTGTACAGGAATGGTTGGCGGGCCTTCCCCCTCTCTTCACCATGCCCACCGCGTTTTAAGTGAGATTCCCAAGGGAAGTTCCTACCACACAAGTCAGAAAGACGAAAAAAAGTGGAAAATATACATTTCCACTTCCTCGTCCGTTCTGCGCTGGGTTGGCAGCCGGTTGGCGCTCTATTGTTTATTTAAACATATGTTTTTGCGAAATTGAAGTTGTATTTTCCCTCGCTATAATCTTAAGAATTAGTGGGGGTTTTTATAAATTTTACATGGATAAAAAAAATAATACACACATTTATCAACTGATAAATGCGATTTCATCCGCAGGTTACATACATAATTTTTTTCTGCAAGGAGAAAAAAAACATCAGAATGGCTTAAATAAACCC